GAATGATCTAGCGATATATTTTAAATACATTAGTTTATCAGCAGTAATAAGCCTTTCAAAAATTCAAGGTGATCTTGGTAACCCAACACTACTTCCTATAACCACTTGGCACCATAGCAAGGTTGTCGGACTAGCCAGCGGAGCATTCCAAAGAAAAAATAGTGATCACCCATGGAAAAAAACTCCTCTTTCGTATACCATATTTGAAAATAAATAGTTATTGAGAATAAAGAAAATGATCCTAAAGTTCATTCAAAATCCTTGGGAATCCAAAAAAAGCAATACTGGAGCCTCCACTGAGCAGCTGTTTTTTAACTTATCTTGTCGTCAAATTTCTGATGAATTTTACTGTTAATAATATTTTATTAATATCAACATATGTATCGTTTTCATGGTGTCCACTATGAAATGCAAATAGCGACGACAAGGTTGAATTAGTATGAAATAGAAAAGTTACAAGAGAGATAAAAATCTTTTTGTAATTCTAGTATGGGATTATAGACTTACGCCGTTTAACAAAGAAGCGATTCAGTTCTCAAAAGTCGTCGTGAAATCACTATAAAAACGAAAGTCTGCATCTATGTAGTCGAAATCCATTCGGTCATGCTATATGGTGACACTATAGTTTAGGTCGCGATCATTTAATTTTTGGAATGTTAGAATCAGAACACAGATTTTAGAATAAATATAATATTTTTTATAGGCATCGCCAGAATGGTCTTTCCTAAAGAGCTTTTTTCCTGTAGTGCTATTGAAAATTTTAAATTTTAGGCCATTTAAAGCAAACGAACTGCTATGAGAAATTACAAAAATCGATTCACCAACAATAGGATGCTGCAAGCCAAGAAATCTTCAGCTAACGTTTCTGATTGATCCATTCTCGACAATTTTTGAACGGCTTGAAAAAAATACGACTGAAGCTGTAATTAAATTGAACTTAGAAATTAGTCGCATTATTTTATATACGACCATGATATATGTCGATTTTAACAGAAAATTCATCCCATTGCAGCTTAAATCTTTAAAATGAAATGGGGGAAAAAACTAGCATGAATTTGAACAAAATTAGTTCCATTGGTCCGATACTATTGAATCCATTCAAAAGATTAGATTGAGAAGCCATGAATTGTTGGAATAAATGGAATTTTGACGTGGTGTGTACAGGAACGTTGCAGAATTTAAGAAAAAAATGAACTACTAAGTTATTGGTTCTTTTCTAATTATCTAAGACGGAGGCTTAGGCTGAGGCTCGTTTATAAGAAGCAAATGATTAGATATAGATTAATCATACTAACTTCGCTAGCTGCTTATGGGATTATGCTTATGGGGTTGGAAATTTTTGCCCGCGAAAGAAATATGAGTATGCTACCAGTACCACTTGAATTTTTTCATGATTGCGTCAATCCAAAATCTTTTCCAAGACAATGATGCCTAAGTAAAAATCCAGAATTTTTCCAGTCACCTTAGAAATCTAAAACGTCAACAAGGAAAAAATAATAATATAAATAATTTCCTTATGATTCAAATAAATATGTTCGAAAATAAGAATTTTAATTGATTCGCGAAATAAAGTTAGTAAAAACGTTTTATTAAAACATAGTGAGATTAAAATGCAATTAATTTAAAAAATTCGCTTAATTAATAGAAATTAATTTTAAAAAAAACGTATGCATAAATTATGGGTATTTTTAAAAAATATTGTTATAAATTTTGTAGTAAAATTTTAACTTTTGCACTAAATGAAGAATCGTAAAAATTATAAGAATTATAAATTATTATATTTATTTTTTATTGTATTATATCACTAAGATTTATGGCCAATTTTAGCTTAAATTATACCTTGATATATGTATGTATATATATATATATATATATATGTATATTTGTACATTTAAATATATGATTTTAATATTATAATAATATTATGATATTATTATTATTTTCATTTAATATTATGAATATTATGAATATTACAGTATGAATTTTTAAGGTCTTCATTTGGTCCTTCCAGTGGGTTTTTTCGTATCAAATATTATACGAGATCTATTTTTTTTGTTTCAAATTATAATCCAAATCTTTAAGTATATCATTTTTAGAATCAATTAAAATATTAAAATAAATTTCAAATGTCGCTTTTATCAAATCGAATTTAGACATTTTATATACATTTTATATACATTTAAATATAGTATAGTTGAAAATTTTATAAACAAAAATGAGAAATTTTACGAATTTTACAGTTGCAAATCAGATTATTTGTTTGAAAGAGAATAATTTTCGTTAAGGATGAACGTTTTAAAAAATATTTCAGGATTACTATTTTCGAGAAGAGAAATTTTGAAATCGTAAGACGATTAATATTTAGATTAATTTAAAAAATGATGTATTAACATTAATTGCTGATAAAAATAAAAAATGAACTATTTGAAATAAATTTATTAATAATTAATAATTATTTATTTATTTAACGATTTAATATTACTGAAACCAACCAACAGGAAAATTTCTCAAAAAAGCAACATATAATTTAAGGAATTTGTCAACGATTAGCGCGCATGCAGTTCTTTAGCCTCAGCTTCAATAAAAAGTAAAGAGCATGAGCTCGTTCCCTCCTCCTTAAGAAGAAATGTATCATTAAAAGCGAGATGGAGTTGGCAGATAAAATACTACTCTATCCTTCAGTAAATTCTCAATAAAAAAATTCTTTCTGCTTAGCTAGCAATATATACTGCGAAGGATCGTAAAAGTTAAAAGAATTTTATACATTCAATTTCATTCATTATTCTGTTTCTCCCATCGTTGAGGCGAAGGATTGGCAATTATAAAATTATAAGATTTATTAAATTTTTTTCGATTTACATTTGATCACGACAAATTAGCCAACATTTGAACCAGCCGAATATGATATATATTTGAAACCATATGATATGATTGCAACTGAGAACTACCAACTAAGCACAAAATAAATCCTCTAATTCAAAAGCTTAAATTCAATAAAATACCGGCGAAAATGGTCAACGATCCGCACCATTCACCTCCTATGGCTATAGGCTATATATATATATATATAAACACCATATGACTGGAACAAAATGGATTTTTATCATTAAATATTTCAATATATTTTCAAAAATTTTAATGAAAGCGTTGTTTTCAATTAAATCGCTAAATACATCAAAATTGGTTTTTTTCCTTTTTAAATTGCATAATTTCTGTTATAGGCACATTTTATGAGATGTAATTGGTGGTAAATTGCTATTCAGAATGTGATATGCTCTTTTCTATTAACTTTTTCAATTGAACAATTCATTTTTCCGATAGCAAATTTACAAATAATCTAAAAATATTGTGGGTGGAAAACTATTGAATTGAATAAACTCACTAACTTAATGCATTTTTTCTTCGCCCACATTTGTGCGCTATTATATAGATAATAGATAATAACTAATAAATGATGAAGTGATAAAGTAAAGTGACAAAGTGAAATTGATAATACAATAAGTGCATGGACATGATAATAGTATTTTCGTAGCAGGTTAGCACTTATCAACTCATATGAATTTGATAGCGAAGCTTAATGGTAATACTTCACCAACCTCTACTTATAGTGCTCTAATGTCATATAATTAATAACTGATATTATCAATTAATTTTTCATATCATTTAGACGTAGTTCAAACTCCATCAGATTTAAAAAATTATTTGCATATGAGTGCATTAAACCAGGTAGTTTTTACATATTTAACGAATAAATTAAGCGATAAAACGTTCTTCTAATATTATTCATTCATCGCCTTTTCTGGTTTGGTTGATTAACTATCAAGATTTGGTTCTTCTAATAACGAACCTTAGGAAAAATATTTCCAGCGTCGGATTTCAGTTTCAACGGCAAGTACAACGCTACTAAAAGATTACCGTTGACCTTGGCTGCTCCTGCAATACAATCTTTAGTCGAAGTAGCTGCTGCCTTTGACTATAGACGAAATACACTAATCACTCCACTTATCCAAAATTTTCTGGCAGCACTGCATAGAGTTCTTGCCACTTATATTTAAGCTTGCTTCCTAGCTTGATGAACGGATAAATTTTACTATGAAATCATTTGACGATGGAAGTAAAGCAGGTGAATCGTTACTGACATTAGAGATTTTGATAGATTTTTAAAAAGCGCAACGTCATTTAAATGTGATTGTCTTAAAATTTCAAAAAAAAAACAAAATTATTCAGAAAAATTTTCTTAATGTGACATAATATTTATTATTACGTGTTCATAGTTGCGATACTGGTCGGTTCAGATCCACTGGATTATTTCTGCAGTTATTCTAAATCACATGTTCCTTTATAAATATAAGATCTTCTCAGCTCGTACCATTTTTCTTAATGCTCATATTTTTTTCGAACATTATTTCTTATATTCGCGAAAAGATATATTTCGAATTATTTTCTCGAATGAATTTGAGGATGCAGCCAGCAAAACATTGACTTTGATCTTTTTTGCGATATTCCTTTGCAAGCACTTTTCTGACCATTAACGCAACAGAACTCAATCTCAAAATTCGAGGTTATAAAGTTAACTAACTGATGATATTGGAAAATCTGAAAATGCATGCTATGAAATTTAATTTCACTTTTTTTAAATCCGACAAGGAAATTTGAAATTTTTTAAGACCTATTTGAAAAGTCAGTGTCTGCAATGTCAAATGCTTTGGTTCTCAACAAATTTTTTAAAAATTGAATGTTATAAAAGAAAGTAATCAAAGTAAATTTCAAAAAAATGTGTGTAAATAAAATTCAGTAAAAGGAAAAGCCTTCCTATTTTCAAGATAGTCGCTTTCAATAATTTTTCGCAACAGAGAATAAATAGCTGGCTGATACATAACGGAATAATTTTTAAATCATCATAAAATAATAAAGGCTGATCAAATCGCATTCAATAAAAAATTCCCTCAACAAAAAATTAATGGAAAATTATCATAAAAAAAAACAAATTAAAATACTATTTACGAATTGTATAATGCAGCACCTTTCCGTGCCAGCTCATCTGCTTTTTCATTACCATAAATACCAGCGTGACCTGCTACGTGTTCAAATCGAACCTGTATCATAAGAAATAATAATATATGACGAATGACTAGCACATCTAGCGGAAATCAGTAATTAAATTTGATGTTCCAAAAAACGGCAGAACCTGGACTCTTTTCAACCATTTATCAAGTTCAACGATTAAATCTTTGTTTTTTACGTCCTGACCATTAGCAGTCTTCCAACCATTAAGTCGCCACGATTTAATCCAATTATTCATTGACTGTATTAAAAGATTGGAGTCTGTACGAATTATAATGCAAGATAAGCCTTTGTTCACTGCCTGAAATCAACTAAATTTGGAAATTAGTGTTTTTAAAAACCGGAAACAGTTCAAGATTAATTCGAGTGCAATGGTATAATTTCATATTTGAAATTGTTTGAAATAAAAATTGCTTCTGAACGAAAAAGCACCTGTTTTACGGCAACAATGACTGCCATAAGTTCAGCGCGGTTATTTGTAGGTGGACCATCTTTGAGCGGTTCAGCTATATTGTCAGGATGATCGTCACCCCAAAATACACCTATACCAGCTTTTGCTCCTCTACGACCATTTGCAGAACAAGCACCATCTGTATAAACTATTGGAGCTCCAATATCGCCACGAAAATCACGCAAAATTTTGTTTGCGCAATCATTTTCATACAAAGTGCTTCAAAAATATTTAATAATTAATTAATTTAATTCATTATGTTCCAAACAGAAACTGAACTAAATCTAACAGAAATTCTCGCTCATTAGGCTGTTAAATTGAAATCTCGTTATTGTTTTTTTTTTTTAAATATATCGTAGCTCTAAACACCGTATATAATAGTTTCATTTAATGGATATGGACTTTTCATGCCATTTTCTAAATAAAAAATATGAGGCTTGATGGAAGATCTCTAATTTATTAACAAAACTTTATGTTATTTAATTTATGCTAATTTGATTTATATTTAACACACCAATTTATTAATATAGTAATAAACCTCTGGTTTTTATGAAAAAAAGTAGGTTTTCTGCTCACCAAGACTAGCAAATCTTTTCTATATGGCACTTTATAGTGCCGAAATTGTGATTGGCACAAAAATCAGCCAAATTGCACTTCATTTGAAATCAATTCGCCAATATGCACCTTTAGAAAGAGGCATAGTCGTTTTCTTATTGGAAGACCGATAAAAATAGATGGCTAGAATCGAAATCGACAACCACAAAACAAATATATTACCACATAAACCTTTTATAACGCTTTAATTTAGCTATATCATCGTCAGATGTAACGAATTTCCTTTTCGACGTGGTTTGCTCGCGAGATGTTCCTTGCGATGAATTCGATAAAGCTCGGCCTAAAACAATAAAAAATGGATTTGATAATTCGAAAAGAAATTATTAAAATAAAAAATTATTATGAGCAATTTTCATCGAAAAAACAATTCATAATGGCTGAAAAATAGATGAAATATGGGCTAATGAAGAGACAATTTCTCGAAGCCAAAATTAATCGCCTTCTATTGATACGAAGCCAAATTAAATTCACCATTGAAAACTTACTGAACAACAATTTGCTATTGTTGTATTCATTTATGAAATTTTGTGCTTCCAATTCGTTATTGAATTTTTTGAATCTAAAATTTTTTTCAAACAACAATTTTCCTTTCCTGTGATAAAATTTTTCTCATGGCACATATTAGCTTTTCTTAAACTTGAAAAAAACTGCCAACCTTGCACCTCGAAATCCTTTAATTTGCTTCTCGCATTCTTTCCATGTGCTATAAATACCAGGCGTATATCCATTTGCAACAGCGTAATACGAATTTTTCATTTCTCTTTAAGTTATATTTTAAGTTATATAAATTAAAATATAATAAAATAAAGTATATTATAATACTAATTAATTAAATTAAAAGAGACAACTTTTATTTAAAATGATTTTAATTTAATTTTATAAACTACTAAATTTAGCGAATTAAAAATTTTTACAACAATCAAAATTTTTTATACTTTAAAAGTTTTCTAAAAAATTTGATGAAGTCGGTGGAAAAATTGAAAAAATAATAAAAAAAAATCTGCTAAGTTCCACTGAGTGGAATTAATTCAAAGGTTTTTATATTTATTAAATTTAAAAATTTTAAATTAAATTTTAAATTCATCAAAATTAAGCAGATCAAAATAAGTTTGAGGACAAAATGATAATTTTGATTTTGGATTAGACAAAAACTAGAAATGGCCACTGGACTGGACACTGGCACCACGCACCGTAAATTTCACGAGAGATTAAATTTGGAAATAATTTAGCAAGTCTAATTTACCAACACGTATTCCAAACACGTATGTACGACCCAAACGACACAATTTTAGCAGAAATATTCAAAACTAACCTTTTCATATTAAATTAGAAATTCATTTGAATCTGATCTGCATTTTAGATGTATGTAAAATCAACCACCCCTTTGCACTTAAATGCGGCCAGTGGTATTTCGTTTACCGTTTCCTTCACGTAGTAAGCTTACATGGCCTCTATTCAAGCGAATGGAAAAATCATGGAGGCATTCATGGTAGTTTGAAGCTAATTCAATTCTTAATATCATTGCTGTCATTATCATAAGCAATTGATAAGCAAACAAATAACAAAAATCATAGAATTATTAGCGATTTTTTAGTGGAAATGATTTTATCTCGCTGCAAACCGATTCATACAAAATAAATCATAAATGGTGAAATTAGTATTAGATTAAAATAACTTGCGTGATAAGAAAACTATGGAAAAATAGAAATCGTAAATCTTAAATCCATGTTTAATTAAATTTAGATTTAGAAAATTTAATTTAGGAAATAAATTTGGAAAAATTTTTTAAAATTTACGCTATTTAATTTTTTCCTTCTTTTATCATCGTGCACAAAATTTTTTATGACCATTTTCAGTTGTTATACTTCATATAAGTACCAACACAATATGGAAATTTCAAATTTAAAGATAAATTATTAATATGATAAAAAAAATTGAACACGCATTTATGAATTTAATGAAGTTATTGCAATAAAAAAAAATTGGAAAATCTAAAAAAACATTTATGAAAATTTAGAATAATTTATTCATGAATAAATATTTGGCAAAATATTTATTAAAACATTTTTTTAATAAAAAAATTAAATTTTTAAAAACTGTCGAAAAAAAATAAACAAAATGTTATAAAAAAAAACAATTTTAAATTATAATTCACATATTTTGCTAATGAATAATATTTTCTTAATAATAATTTCATTTGAACATGCCGTACAATTGTTCAAAATAATCCAAATGCCAAATAATAGATCAGATACTTCCTTTTATTCCGCAGTTTTATTATTTCAAACGGCTCGCCTTAAAGCCCTCATCGAAAATGCAGAGAGAACTTGCTGTAGGATGATGCAAATTCTACATCAATGAAAGGTGATTGGCACTCAGTGGTTATTGTTTAGGTTGGTTCCATTAGCTTAGGAATTCATAATAAGGAACTTTAATTAAGGAAAAATAGACATTTCTAAATGTGTTCCTCAGACAATGACCTTCAAGACATATATTTTGGTTACATTTCGGCTATATAATATTTGTATCATATTTACTTTTTATATATTATATTTGAATTTGTATATATATTTATAATATTTGTATTATATTTTTATGTTCATAGCATAGCGTAGAAATAGACATTGTAGGATTCGTATTTCCTTGGAAGAAATCTTTATATTCATATTGGTCGAACGCTTATTATTTCTATTTTCTTTCGACGTAGTAAAATATTCCATTGCGCAATTCCGATTATTAATCTGAAAAAAATCCTAATAAAAAATTTTCATAAATTCATTAGTATAGTACAAATTTATTACGACAAAATATAAATTTTTTAGAAACAACCAATTTTCCATTCCAATTTTTTAAAAAAATTAATTGAGCTCAATTCGCTGAACCATTTTTTATAACAAATGTCTTGAAGAGTTCGAATCTCAATGGTGATGTTCATTTTAGAATATTTTCAAAAAATAACTTATATGTTAACAATTAACAAATTTCACCCGTCAATACCATGACCTATCATCCATACGATAGTAAATACTAAAAATATCATCCATTTGGAAAAAAAAACATCTGGCACGACATAATTGATCAAAAAAATAATAAAGTAAACAAATGCGCTGACACATGTCTGAAATCGTTTCATCCAATACTAATTTAGCCGAAATAATGAAGAATTAAAAGAATATTAACCAGAAAAATTTAATAACAATAATAATATTTCTTGATTTCTCTGATAGTTTAGTCAAAAAAAATAAAAATTATTTTCTTTCCTATTTAATAAAAAATAATGGAAAAAAATGAATAAATTGAAATGAAAAGAACTGAATAAATAATAAATATTTTCAACAGATTTTTATCAGAAGATTCAATTTTTTTTCAGCGAACTATTTCATATTCTTACTTGAGAGAAAAAAATTATCTCCGATCGTGAGAGTGAAAAATTGGTCTGATTTGATCGTTTTCCTCTATTTTTCTAAAATAAAAATTTGTATAATTTGTATAATAAAAATTTAGGGGAGCATTCGATATAATCAAATATTAAAATTATCAGTGAAATAATAAGAGACAGAGAAATGATGTGGTAATGAGTTATGTGCCTGTCAAGGTTATAAAGGATCGCACTGGAAAGAATTCTTTGTGGCCTTAATTATGATGTTGCCTCAGATATAACTGAATTGCTTCTTTGAACGATATTTTTGCAACAGCGAACCGTTACCAAGGCAAGAAAGGCCAAAAGCCCAAGGGTAATGTGAATTCGTACAGAAAATGGCCTTCGGATCGAAATCCTTAAATATTCCTTATCATATATCTTCAAAAAATATTCTCTGTAGTATAGAGGATAATTAATGCCAGATGACTGCAGCAAAACAATTTTGCAAGACGTGCTACCTATTACTTTTAGATATTT